GACCTTGTACAGAGAACAATGCACTGAAATAGACCAGACTTGTTATGAAACAATAAACTTAAATATAGCTCTGGACCTGACACAACTGTGTAACTTTTACCTTCTAGGATCAAATTTAACACTCTAGGGTAACAATTCCAGGCAGATTTCTTTTTTAGTTTTCCATCCACTTGGTATACCTGAAGGCACATGCTGTAATCATATTTTATATACAACCTTAACAATATGCTGGTGTCCATGAAGGGTCGTGATATTGTGAACACCTAATTTCAAGTGCTACACAGCTGACACAAGATTGTTGGGCATTGTTTCTGTGGGCTCGTCCTGTGTTAGAGAAATTAGAGGATGTGCAAAACCTTGTTATAAAACATTGTACAAATGCACCAGCGAGATAGTGCATGCAAGCAAATATCAAACACAAAGGGCTATAGGGTTTGAGAAAAGAAAAAGCATGAGTCCAGACAGAAGCACTGGGTCTGAACCGAGCTTCTTAGGAAAAAAGCAAAACAATAGTAGACACTGAGGAAGACTGAAGAGGAAGAGAGCGCCACACCATGCAGAGAAGACCGCCATTTCATCTACAAACAGGAGTTCCTGAGAATGGTGCTGGGGACAAATCTAGAAAGGCAAATTCACATCTAGATGTGCAGCTAGAGCCAGGCTTTCAAACACAAGCCCCATCTTTCATCAGGATCCCATGACATTGAGAGATGACAGAAGAGACTACATGACGAACATCATTTCCCCCAGCTTCGAGGTGGGGTCAGGCATGCTGGGAAAAGGTCAGGGTCACTCTGAGAGTGACACAGGGAATGACAGAGAGTCCTGTTTCCCAGTCCAACCATCTCTCAGCCAAGATACACCACAGTCTCCCTCCTCTTTCCCAGGTCCCAAGTCCTGCAATGGAATGACCAGGCTGAAAGCTGGAACTGCCCCTTATTTTTCCTTCCCCTGTGACAAGAGAGAGAGGAGGACTATTGAACTTTAAACTTCCTGATAAACTATAATGTGGGAAAGTGCCATTTTTAGGTTTACATGAAGGAGCTACCTCTGAGAATGGCCTCTTGGCCTGTGAAAAACTAGAAACATCCCAGGAAGTCACTAAAATGTTGTAGTACTGTGAGAATTTGTATAAAAATAAACACTGGATTATTTCAGGCCCGGTCCCTTGAGAAAAGGAGCCAGAATTACTCAGAACTACTAGCCTAATCTTGACAGAAAAGAGGAAATTAACAACTGAAGCCAGATTTTTTTTCTCTCCTAAAAAAAAAATGTAGAGGAAAAAAACTATTTATGATATTTTGGAAAATGAAAAAAAAAAATCTCAAGTTCACCATGTGATTCAAATGACCCAAAACTAAGATGGTTAAATTTCCTGATGAGAAAATTCAATGCAGGTCAGTAGCTCTTGGAAAGTGTCATCTGGAAGCCACGAAGTCAGGAGAGCTTGAACTCTGGGACTTAAAGAGGCACATAATTCAGCTCGCTGCAAACTGTATTCTCCAGAGCACAGTGGATTTTTTTTAAAGCTCTGCTCAAATCTTTTTTTCTCAGGAGAAATAAAGACCAAAAATTCAAAGGAAGCACACATTATCCCATGTCACTAGAAGAAGAGCCCCCAACCATGACCAAAACAAGCGCTTCCTTTCCACTGAAAGATAATTGCCCCTTGAGCCCCTAGTATGAACAAAATCTACTCATCAGACAATGCCACATCACTCCATGGCTTAACTCACATTTGTAACAAGACTTACTAAAAGCAGCCTAAAGTCTCTTACTAAAATGTAAAAGGCATTTCCCCTTTTCCGTGATACTCCCATCTTGAGTTCTCTGAGCCCAGCACCATCCTTTGGATTGTAAAAGTGGAAGCTACCACCTCTCTGCTCATGGACTTGATCACTTCTGCATACAGCAGAGCTGGTGAATCCATGGTGCTCTGATTGTCACCTTTCTGGAGCCACAAAAATAATCCAAGAAGATGATATGACACTGAGAAAAAGATGAAATCAGTCTGATTCCATCTATCCATGTCTCTGCTAACTTGGAGATAAGTACTCCCTACTGCAGAAAATTAACACACGGAAGAGACTTGTGGAACACTGCAAGAGAGGACACAATTACAACTGAATATCTGAGGAAACCATTTGGTGTGATTATATCTAGTCATACAGCAAAAATGAGAATATGAGATTTCCTTCTCCAGATTAGTGGAGGGGTTTCCTGTTCGTTCCCTCCTTTCTTGTGATGATTAAGAGATACCAACACAGAGTTAGGGAAAATAAGGGGGATCCCCTGGTCAGAATGCCTGTGAATGTTTAAGAGAAGGAACAAAGGAACTTCGGGGAAAGTCCTCCAGTCTCATGTTGCACTGCAGCATTTGTTGCACCCAGAAACCTTGTGGTCAGGGTGCTGCTTCTGCACTTTTCACTGTAAAGTGAGTTGACCCGTGGGATTCTACTTGCTGTGGGATTCCACGTCATAGATGAAGGCACTGTAAAAGTCCGTGGATGGTAATGTTTTACAGGGAAAGAAAGGCAAGCTCCTATCCAAAATAAGCACTATTTATGTGAGAATAAACCACCAGGGCTTTCAGGACAGAAAATTCTCAGTGCACTCACATTTTTGCCAGGGACTAGCTGGTCTCCTGGTAGCTGGGTTAGCCTAGCAAGTGAGGACCCCAGAGCGGGCTTCTGTGACACCTCTGTCTCCACCAGGAGCATGCCTTCGTCCCTTTCTGGTAGCATTCCCCCATACCAGCTCTCTGATGGCTGGTGACCAAAGCGGATGTCTACCAACCATGTCATTCTTCTCTATCTTGCAGTTTCCATAGTTTTCCCACAAGGCTGTTTTCTGGTGGGTGTTCAAAAGACATACAAAGCGCTTCACACATTGTGCCCACTACCATGTGTTCATCCACATGCTTCTACCCCGGGCATCTTCCAACCCCTGAGAAGCCAGCCAGGCCATTTGAATTGCTCATGACTGCATACATTCTCACTTCAACCACTTTTTCCATACAAAAGTAGACAACCAGGTGTGCCATTTGAAACTCTCACGTTGCAGGTTTCCTCTCACCACTGTCTGAGTGCAGTTTAACAACCATATCCATTTTTGGTTTGATCTACATACTAAACTAACACATCTAGAAATTAAGCTTCTGCTGTTCTCTTCCTTGGGTGGTTACCCAGGACAGAACCATCTCCTATGTGACAGTAGCCATGAGCTGAAGAAGGTGCTGGTGCAACTCTGTGGTTGGCATGAAAGAGAGAGAAGTTTAAATTACCTCCCCAGAAGCTCCCCTACCCTCTCTTGTTTGATCAGGCTCATTCCAAACTTACCATTTCTGGTGGAGACTGCTGCTGGTTCCAGTCAACTTGATGTCTTGGGGATTCAACAGAACCCAGCTCATATGGGTCTCTACCAGAGTTTAGTAACATGTCAGGAGTTGTTTCTCAACAGGCAGATGAGTCCCTACCGCAGATGGCGTAGCCTTGCTCTAGAATCTTAGGGACTAGACTTGTGAATTAAACAGATATATTATAGAAAGGGCTACTCCTGCATCTCCAGGCGTCTTAAGGGTGATTCTAACCAGTGCCCTCCCTCTCAGAGCCCATACTGTTTTTGACTTCTATCTTGTTCAGAGAAGGAGGCAATCTCAAAACCTTCTATTTAACATTTTCTACTCCAATACCTCTTACTCAATCAGCCAAGGATTCAGTGGACTAATTCTAACTACTCAGTATTTGATTCTAAACTTTACACTTGAACATGACATAAATGGCATCTGTATGCATTATGCAAAAAAACATCCCAATGTACACACTCTAAGGTAAACTTCAGCCAGGTCTGCATTGATAGTTTCATCTGTGTTCCCGACCACACAACATATCATGAGAGAGATATTTTAGTGCTTCAGATTTCATGATACAAATGGCAGTTACAACTCTTTGTCCAATAACCCTGGAAATGTGTGGCATTTAGCTTTCTTTAGCACATGAGCACTGAGCAAATGTTCCTAGATTCTTTGGGGGGAAATAGCAAGGGAATTAGAGAAGTAGATACTTCACGTGGTATTTCCCAGATATACCTGGATGGTCAAAGCTTATCAATCATTGAAGCTGAAGCTGAAAACTGAGTTGAGTTTTTGAAATTGAGAAAGAATATGAAATGGAAAAAGGGAATCGCGATGCATTATGTCTGTGTGCCAACTCCATACATGTAACCTGTACTAACACAATATTTGGAAAAAGAATGGAACGTCTAGTGGTGCCAGCCACCTTCAGATACTTTTTCATCTGCCCTTGTCTTCTTTTGGTGGTATTTGATAAATATTACACATGACATGTAATCTCATTGAGGAGTGCCCCATTCTATTATTCACTATGGAACCCTGGTGAAAGCCTGCTTTGCTAACCCTCCAACCCTGCCAATTCTTCACACAGCGGTAACCCCTTGGATCTTAGCCGTTAACCACGACCACATTAACTGCATTGCTTCAGAACCCATTGTCCCCACCTGCTCCTGAAGATACCAGTTCTGAGTGCTATTCCTGCCACCAGCCCTCCCTGGACTGCATAGAAGAGCCACCATTAAACTTGGCCATGCTGACCCGTCCCTTGCCTATGAACCCCTGATGACTTTGGTGTGTCCGCTGGGCCCTCTTTCCAACTTGGTCCTCTGCTGGATCTTTTGACTTCCCATAATGTGTGCACTCCAGCAGGCCCACTTTCCTGAGCTGCTCAAATCCCACCATTCACTGCCTGACTCTGTGCCTAAGTCTCAAGGAAGTCCTTCCTCTTCTCAGGAGCTATCTGCAGTGTCGAATCCCATCTACTGACACAGTGCTCACAGTTTAATAACTCTTGCTTATTCAGTTTTTGCCTTCTTGCCCCTTCAGTCAAGTACCCAAAATCCAATCTCATGTCTCCTGTTAGGACAGCTCAATAATATATGCAGTTTCTTCAGTTTGACTGTTATAAATATACCCTCGGCCCCAGGTCTCAAATTCTCAATGCATCTTTTATTTGCCCTCAAATTCATTAAGATCAACTCACCATTCATACATATGCTTATGCAAAAGACATCATCATCCATTTAGCCTTCAAAGTGATTTTAACAAAAGAACAATGTATCTGTAGAGGCACCCCAGAGCCAGAAGTAGACATGCCCACAGCTGTCCGTGGGATCCAGTTCATTTTAAGCAAGACCTCTGCACAATCAGAAAATTGTTGCCAGCAGTAGTTGGGCTTGGCTGCTGCTTTGTTTATGTCTAGTAGAAGAGAGGGAAAAATTCTTTCCTCCAGAGTTTCCAAAGTCTCTTTTCTGAATGGTCTGATATGGCCCCTGTGTCCACCACTGGCCCTACACCATCAGAGCCTGGAGAAGGCTGCCATCTGATTGTGTCTACATTGATTGAGTCAATTCATATATACTCGGTAGAAGTTTCGTCCTTTTGTATTTATGTGTGACATCTTGTTGTTCTGCTCTGTTTTCATGGCTCTTGTCTGAGTGCATAAAACAGAGCTGGGTCATAATTGGTATTTGAGTGAATGAGTTAATTACGGTAAATGAAGATAGGTTTGGTTTCCACTAGAAGAGGGCAAGAGACATAAAACAATAGACATAAACATACATAAAGCAATGTCACTTGCCTTTTTTATTTTGAAATAGACACTGAATAAGTAATTCTCTCATATCATGGGCTGCTACATTGTGATGGTTAATTTTATATCTATTTGACTGGGCTTAAAGGATGCCCAGGTAGCTTGTAGCACAATATTTCTGGGAAGGTCTGGGAGGATATTTCTAGAAGAAAGTTATATCTTGATTAGCAGACTGAGGGAAGAATATTGCTATCGCCAAAGCGCATGGGTGATATCCAATGTGGTGATGGGGTAGAAACAAAGCAAATTTGAAAGGCAAATTTACTCTTACTCTCTCTTCCCAAGCTGGCACAAACATCTTCTGCCTTTGGACAGCGGGTATCCTAGTTCTTGGGCTTTGAGGCTCTGTACAAGACACACAGTAGAGGCTTCCAAAATTGTCAGTTCTTAGACTGAGATTGACTCACTTTCCAAGCTTTCTGGGCTCTGCAGTTTTCCAATGACACCTCATAGGACTTAGAACACAAATCCTTATCTCACCAGAACAAACACCATTTCAACTGATAAGTAGAGGTAATCAAATAAATGTTCTTTTCCATAAAAGTTAGCTCTTCCTCTGTTTGGAAAAGTTTCATTTTCTTGGTATTAATAAAGTTGAAAGCAGTTTATTTAAAATAACTATTATTTCCCAATCTCTTAAGGAGGAATTGCACTTTTAAAACCATCATACACATTCATATGTCTGATATTTGAAATAATCACTCTCAAGCAATATAATATCTAAAGTGAGAATTCAATATCTTCTGCCATTAACAACATCATTAATAACAAAATGTCTGTTTAATTACTCTTGCTAAGATTAAAAAGGCCATTATTCTTGTAACTTGAGAAATTCATTAGCTGGAAAAGGCTGTTTAATGCCAAATGCACTCCTTAAAGATGCAGTCCCCGATATTTGAAGGTATTTCTGACATTCATGCATTTGCATTACTTTAAAAAAGCACTAACCCAACTGTGCTGAAGATCATGCTGTGACAATAAGCAAGCACTGTAACATTTCAAAATCAGAAATGAAGCTACAAGACATTTTACAATACCATACAGAGTCTGTTCTTCGGAATATTTAAACTCCACACACTGAGCCCATTATTCATCGTTCACCTCTCACTAATTCTGTGCTCAAATGAGTCTTGTACCAACACAGTGCATCCTTGGGTACAGTTAATATTCATAAGCACCTCCTCCAAAGGGACTGTGAGCTGTAACTTAAGATCTTTGCAAGTCAATTGTAGAGTCTGAGACTTCAAGGAATTTAGATCCATTAAGTGAAAATTACAAGATGGGATTTAGAACAACATCTTTCTTAATCCACTGTTTCAGCTCACTGTATTTTTAGCACAGAAACCCTCTTAACATTTAGTAAGAATTAGATCAGTAGCAGTGCGCTTACAGAAAGCAATTCAAGGTGCTTCCCCGTCTTGGTTATATGTCGTGTGGTATACCGTTCTTTCACTTTTTGCCTCTTTTTCCCATTTTTTCCTGTGAGCAGGAAAGCTGAGCCCTAAAACTAGCTATAATTCTGTAGTGCTCCTTAGTTTCAGGATGTTCCCACTTATTATGTCTGAATCACAAATGTACCCTTTAGGGTACTCTCAAAGAGAGAGAGCAAGCGTGTCAATAGCAGAAGGGCAGGAAGAATTCAGGCCAACCCAGGTGAATAAGAAGCTGGAAGAAAGTTTTTTGTTGTCATGTTCTGTTTTGTTTTGTTTAATTATAGTGTGTTCAGTACAGAACAGTCACATTCATGGTGCAGAGGGCCTCACGTTCATGATGCATCCTAACTCTTAGACTCCCTTCTCCTCCCCAGGCCTCTCCATTGGTCCTCTTCTCATTTGCACAAGATCTGTCTCCTTGTTTCCTATTATCTACCACTTATTTTGCTCGTTAATTTATTTACACTTTGCTATTTGGGAGAAAGTTGCTGCTTTTAAGGTTGAATTGAGTGTCTTGCAGTGGAGAGTGTTCCCCACACTTCTCTCCATCTTTTTTTCAGTAAACGTGCATCGCTACTTCCTTTGTACCTTTGGTTATGACGGGGTCTCTTGGAGGTGAACGTCACCCAGTATCTGCCGAGGACAGGTCCTTACCACGTGAGGAGAGCATGGTACCCGTGCCATGTGCAGGATACACTAGGACACGCAAGGGAGCTGAGAGATCTCTGGAGGCAGAAAGGGATTCAAGATTAGGCAAATCTTTAAAGGATGAGTACGTTTGGGTCATTTAACATTCCTGCCTTCCGCAAGACAGGGCAGGATAGGTGATGGGGAAGTAATAGCAGCCTATGGTTTTATTTATCCAAGGAGTTTGACTCCTGCCCCGCCCCTTCCGCTGCACAGCAGCTGCGTGGCTGGCTGGCTTCCTTCTCTCTGGAGAGGCGCCAGAAAGCAGAGGCCCATTGGATTGAGCGCCATTTGCCACACTGTTTCTGGAAATGCTTGCCTTTGGGAAAAGCAATGTCTTCCTTGCCTGATATAATCAATTTTTATCTAGGATTGCTCTCTGTAGGGAGGCAGTGATGCTCCAAGCAGAAACTTGGAGGGACTTTAACTAAAAGCAGGGAGCTGGCTTTTGTTCATTTCTTAGCCTGAAAACGCAGTGCTTATTTAAACACTGGGATGAGAAAGTTCATTTACGATGTCACATTAACTTGTGACAGTAAATGAAAACAACACATACCTGAATGTGCGGAAACTTCTGTTTAAGTTAGCCACGTGCAAAAAGGACTGCTTTCCAACTTGCTAAATTCTCTGCTGCTGGAGGTAGGAAAGTCAAAGTTCATCAACACTAACTAGAGAAATTGTTAAACATACTTTTTAAAGGATCTTTGTTGAATTACATGACCCACCATGTCTATGACTTTTGTGATCCTGTAATACTTTATGATTTTAGATAAAGGCAATTTCTACCATGATCATGTTTTTGAGACTTAAAAATTTCAAGACAGCATTGTGTTGTTTGTTTTCACAAAATAAAATGAAGGCATTAGGAATAATCCCTTTAGTCTTGACATGTTTTCACACTTAGAACTTTTTACCAATTTAATGCCTTTAAATTTTAAATAATACATGTACCAAAAACAAGATACGAAGTGGTGTCCAGTTCTGCGTCAGTCACCATTTGCCAGCACTTTCAGAGGGTTTTCCCTGATGATAAGACTTGAGCTTCAACCTCAGCTGCAGCTTGATGTGTAAATGGTAGTGTGCAACTCATCTCTGGAAGAAGTAACAGAGAAAAACAATAGAGCTTTGTCTTGGTAGATTCTTAGAGCCTTACAGTGGTAAAGATCCAGGCCAGGATTCTTTGGCTGTGGAATCTTTTGGGATTTTAAAGGGTGTAGAACAATCTTAGTGAGTCCCTTAGGATTGAGACATTATTTCCATACTAGATGTCTCATATACCAACAGGTTTGTAACTGGGCTTGAGTAGATTTGTACACCTAAGCCAAGTATCTGGTTGACTCTGCTTTGTCTTGTTTTCAATAGCTTCAGTGAAAGAAATCTTATGTCTTAGAATAAAAGTCAAGAGACTGATTGAAATAACTAATCATAGCAAATGTTTTCTGTGTTACTTTCCCTTAATCTATTTCCAGGTCACTACCCGTGGTCTTTGAGTTTGATCCATGGTGCATAAAAGGATGTTTTTGCCAAACTCACTTGAAATAATCACCAGAAATAAATTAACTCAAGTGACTGAAATTTTTAATCATACTGTGCTTTTTCTCACACATATATACAAACACATGCACATAGCTATTCTAAACTGGAGTTTTCATTTCCATGGGAACTCAACAGACATTTATAGTACAGTGCAGATAAAAATGAAATGGAAGAGACTTCTTTCTTCTATAAAAGAAGCATTTTTATTCTGTGAAACTTTATTGGGAAATTTTTTAAAGTAGGGTTGTAAATCCTTAAGTTGAAAAAAGCCTTAGTTTTTTGTGATGAACATTAAAATCACATAAAGTTGGTTGAAAGTCTCCTATGGGTAGAAAGAGGTGTGTGTGTGTGTGTGTGTGTGTGTGTGTGTGTGTGTGTGTGTGTATGTGTGTGTGTGTGGAGGGAGAGAGAGAAAGAGAGAGAGAAATGCCCAATTAATTTAACAATGCTATTGTTTTCACTTTTAAAAATTCACAAGTGTAAAGCACATTGATATATTTTCCATGGAAATTAGTTTCCAGTAAAGATGATCACATTTCAATCTTATGAAATAAGTAGCACAAACAATGTGCTTTGCAAAGACACAAGGAATTTCACATAAGATAAACCATCTTAAATTTGATTCTTTGGTACGTGCATTGGAGGACTGTAGAGAAACATTCTGACTCAGAATCACATCTTTGTATTCATGACCAAGTAATAGGAAGACACTACAAAGAAACACTTGATTCCAAGTGAAGTTCTATTGGAAAACCTTTTAAGCTAGCTTAATGAGATGGGGAAAAAAAGATAAAGGAACTCAAGAACATGAGTAGAGCTGAGATTTAGGAAAATTACACTCAAACCAAATACAAGGGTTATGTACAACCTGGGAAGATTTCTCTCCGGATCATTCCCTACCCACATCTCATCAACTTCATGTTTATTATTGTTAAGATCCTAGTCTATACCAACTCTCTACTTCCTGATTCATCTGAAATTAAAAACCTCCTTGTACTCCTTAACTCTTTAAAGGAGAGTCATAATAGATCTCAAATGTCCATGTTGTCAGGTAAACACTGATTTCCTAACTTAGGTAGGATATCTACCTTCAAATAAACCAACAATTGCGAAGTAATTAGGATCATATGGTGTAGAGGTAGTTGCCTCATCGCTAGGTAGATCAAAGGGGAATAGCAGCATTTGGATAAGGGCAACCCACGGTAGTTGTGTACTAGGTAGATTTCAAAGACTAAACAAACCCTCATAGAACAAGGGAACAATCACAAGTACTTATGAAGGAAGTGTGTGACCAATTTTTTAGTTCTGGATTAAGCAGTCAGGGAGCTGTACTGGAATTAGAATACTGAGAATAATAAATTTATAGTGGAAAGAATTAGGCAGTTTTCCAGATTTCCCTCTTGCTGTTTCAAGGAATAAGGGGAGGAACAGTCTGTTTTAGACTTCATGGTGATGTCCAAATGTTACTGGTAAACGTTCTCACTAGAGGCCCCAGGTTCTTGGACATGATCTTTGAGAACTGTCTACCCTCAAGGCCTTGGTTCTTAGATTGCAACCTTAAATTCTTATTTTTTTCAAAGACAGAAAACAAATCATTACCCCTAAGGCAGACTCATGCTACCTCCCCACTGGGTTAGTCTCAGGGCTGTTACATAGACAGCAGTGCAATGAAGCACCACCACCACCCACACACACAGAGATGTATATACACGCACACAGTGTTACAGAAACACCAAATGCAATACAACTTTATGTGTGGCAGGAAACTTAAGTGAACATTATTGGAGCTTAATTTCTCTGAAATTAAGAAATTTGAGAAGAGGGGCTGGGGATTTAGCTCAGCAGCATAAGCGCCTGTCTTGCAAGCAGGCAGTCGTGAGTTCGATCCCCAGTACTGATAAAAAGGGAAAAAAAAGACACCAAAAAAAAAAAAAAAAGAAAGAAAGAAAGAAAGAAAGAAATTTGAGAAGTAACAAGTTTGAAGTTACCTTACTGACATCCCTGCATGTGTTTCCAAAGTGTGTAAAGTAATGCTTATGGAATTGCTTGTAGGAAAAAATGGCAAATGACCAAGATCAATGACATGTTTGTTAAACATGTTTGCTATAGCAAAATAGCCACAACTACTTAAGAAATGACTCTGTATGTATCAAATAAAATCCTCATATTTTAATTATAAGCAGAATCATTTTCAAAAAGGATATATGGGAAGAAAAATTATAATCAGAATATTGTCATTACTTTACAGTAAAGTTACTAATTTAAAATTAAGGACTTACATAAACATACTTTAGCAATCAGAATACCCATGTCCAAATTACCAGTCATTTTTCCCTAACGATAAATATAGAGAGGAAATCAAACAATAACCCAAAGCTTGCTTACTGACCTCAGAATTAGAATAAGGGCACCATTGGTTAGCAAATGGACATAAATGACTTGAGCATAAGAGATGCTACTGAATCATTTGTAGAAAACACGGAGGAGACGTCTCTCTATTAGATCTGGAAGAACTGAAGGTCTGAGGCTAACAGCCTCTGCAATCTTTTCCTTAAAAGCACAGTGCAGTGGTTGGGACCTCACAGTGCAAAAGTACTTTTGTCTAAGTAAAGTTTGCTCCGTGGGTCAAATTTTATGGATGAACCCAAACAAAACCTATTTCTATGCTTTCCTTTGTTTATAATTCATAGCTGACTACTTCCTTTATTATATGATAGAAGCTTTCTGTAGTATCTTTATTTAGGGTAGAAGGCAAGTTTACAGTGATACATCTTTACAGCAACTTAACATTTTCCAACTTTGACAAAGTTATGTAAAAAAAAAAATCTAGTTTATACTATTAGCAATCTTATTTCTCTTTTTCCCAAGAATGTCAGGAAAAGCTCACCTTAAACACTGTGAAGTGGATTTATGGATTCTCTCACACATTGTTCTACAACCCTTTGGGGTCCTATGAAAATTAAAGAAAATGAACAACTGTATGGGTCACCTTAGATGACTCAACTACAAGGCTTCCAGGAAACTTCAGAGTGAGCCACGGAGGAATCCGGAACAAGTGGGCAACAAATTCGAATGGAGAGGCTGACTCTGAATGAGACAATCCACAGCTCATATCCAGAGAGGAGTCATGACATCCTGAAGATAAAAAAGCAAAGATCCTGTGGTTGCCAGTGACACATTACTGACCTGCTCCTTTTGAATTAAGACCTGAGCCAGTGGCTAAACAATCTGAAAATGTGCCTGTTTCTCAGAAAGCATTTATACTGCCAGTCAATTCATGGTAAATACTGAACAAAACAAAGCTGTTGTATCAGAATCAATAGCATAGCCAAAAAAAAGGACAAATAATATTAATAAAGATAGAACCTCTACAATATTAATTTACCAATAAAATATTATAATTTAACTTACATATACCTAAAATGATACCTTTGAATCAATAAAAGAAACACAGAATAACAATTAAATACTGACAAAACCTCAATCAAAATGAGAATTCAGAAACTGACAAAACAGACAAAGCTAAAAAGGATATATAAAACTAGAACAACACATTTAAAGATCTCTTCATTAGGTATATTTAGAACACTATAATCCAAAAATATAAAGCACCATTTTTAAGTATAGACAGAAATTTTACACACATTATTTCAGATTTAGCAACAAAGGAATCTTTAAAAATATTTTAAAAATCAGTGCTACACAGACCAGGTTGTCTTAGCATAGTTAAATCAAAAACGAATCATAAAAATACAGAATAGTGTATGTTAGCAAACTTCCTATGGATTTCTAAGTGTCTCATAAGTTAAAAAATAAAGCTCTAAGTAATCTTAGGATAAAGAATAAATCACTAAATAATCTTGGTTAAAGAGTAAAGAAAAAGTATGAAACGTTTATATGGAATACAGATGAAAGAATTACATTAAAGACGTTTGGGATAAATCTCATGCAAGGTGAGCAGCCAAGTTTATAATGTGAATAGATGTGCTAAAAAGTAAAAATGACTCTAATTAAGCAGGGACTCAGAAAACCAGCAAAAGTACAAAATAAAATCAAAGACCAAATTAGACAAGAGGTAATTAAGATCATAAAAGTTAATGAATAAGGAAGAAAATGTACAAACTGTTAACAAAAGTTAGTACATCAAAAAACTAGCAGAAAAACTTAGAAGACTAAAAGGAATAAAATAAAAGTATTAGAAATTTTAAAAGAACATTGGGGAGAATTTTTGACATATCAATTAAACAGACAAAAATTGCAAATTTCAAAAACAATATATATTTATCAAATTGACTATGGCTAAGTAGAAAATTAAAGGACTATGAATTTTCTTGAAAAATAATTAACCTGAAACTAGTTCCCATGAAGATCAAATAAGATAATTTTAGAAAGGATTCAACAAAGCTTTCAATAAACAGATCATCTCTCTCATGAAATCTGTTCAAGAAGCTTGAAAAAATGAAAAGTAACCCAACTCATGTCACAAAGTTAGCATAAGCATGATTCCAAATCCAGATAAGACTATTCATGAAACTTGAAAAAAAGACAGATTCTAAAATTTGTATGTAAGAGTAAAGAGCCAAGAATATCTATGACAATTTTGAAGGGAAAGAAAGAAAGGAGGAGCTGGGGGAGGCTTTCTCTGGACAGTAGGCGTTTGTGAAAGGAGCGTACCTACAGAAAGAGCCTACAGGGAGAGCTGGGTCGGTCACTTTGCTCTATACGGAAAACAATTTCTTCTCTGCAGATAGAAAACTCAAGTATAAAAAGGAAGTTGGATTCTTCCGCATACCAAATCAATTCCAAAGAGCTGAAAAACATGTATATGAAGGATGAAGCTTTAAAAATGAGGAAGAAAATTTTTGAAGCTATTCCATGTCCTTCGTAAAGAAGAATATCTCTTAAACAGGAAACAAAGACGACCAATGAATAACGATTGCACTGAAGTTTAAATCCATGCATTAGAACAAATTGCATAAGCCTAGGTAAAAGGTGCATTCATTTACTTAGAAGAAACATCCTCAGAATAGGTCACTGGATATCAAGTAAAAATCAAGGAAAAAGTATCCAGAATATATAAAATAAAATAAGTAGCAATCATGTTAGAAACATAGCTCAGTGACACCATAGATTCAGTTTCCAGTGCCACACACAAAAACACACACACAAAGAGGAAGAACAAAAGAAAAAGGAAAATATTAGTTACCCAACAGAAAAATGGACAAAAAAATCTGAACATGCACATATTGGAAAAGCCTAACGTGATTGGGAGTGAACATATGCTTACCTCCCCTGCCTGAATTAGAGAAATGCAAATTTAAAATAATACAAAATTTAACAAACAGGATACCGACAAAAAATGTTAAGATACTAAGATTTGGTGAGATTTGGTTAAGGACCACGTAACATACCAATGCAAGTAAGCTTACAAATTTGAGAAATAATTTGGCAAAATCTTGTTAAATTAAAGATACACAAAAACTAAGTCCAGTAATTTTACTGGTAGCCATATTTTCTAGATATGAATCTAAAAATATGTACAAAAAAGTTTAAACAATGATGTTCAATTTATGTTGGGAAAAATTAAAACAAGTTATACAGTACATAGGATTATAATGTGAGGCAACGGCATTATATTTCTGGTATGTATTAAATGGATTGATCTTTAGAAACATGAAGTAAAACATTCACAGAATGACTTAAGCTGCATGATTCCACCATAAAAACATTGAAATACATAAATGGTATTTTGTATTTTTGTAGATGAATGCCTACATAAAAAAGGAGAGAACATTTTTAGGAAGGAATCACCAAGCTCAAGGGGCTGAAGGGTATCAAGGAGATGGCAGCACCCACAAGGACTACAAAGGGGCCTTCGAATTTTATCTGTGACTTTATTAGAGATCTAACTCTACAAGACCAAAACAGTGAAATGCTTAAAATACGGCCAATAAATTCATGAACATTCACAAAATTAACTTGCACCATTTTTGTATGCTTCTTTTATCTTTCCTAATTTAAATAAAACTTGAAAATATCGTTTTAAGAAAAGAGCAAGGAAATAAACCATTTCCGACTCAATACATTTCTCTGTATATACACTTATGAAACAAAAGTATCAGGACTCTGGGAATACACAGGTGTGTCATGGGACTAAACACGTCCCGAATTCAATAATCCACATCTCCTGGGAGCATCTGTTTTGTTGAGGGGATCGGAGGAGATACACGTATGACAGATTCAGAGTTTTTATGCACAAGAATTTGAGTCACAGTTCATCAACTCCAACCTTCACCTCCAGCGTCACCTTCACCCTTCACTATCACCTATAGCTACAAATATTAGAGTAGAATTATTGCTGTAGGAAAAATCACAAGTTCCTATAATTTCTCTTAAAACAGCAGGAATGTATACTTGAATGAATGTGTGTGTAAATGTATACTTTAAAACAAGAATGAATAAGAAAGCAAAGATTCGGGTTTTTTCAAGAGCTGAACTCTTCTAATATCAAGAAGACATCAGCTTCATCGTCTTTACCTTTGCAGCCAACAAGATCCTGGTAAACACAAAAGAGCTTCTTGTAGGGAACCATGTGACTAGGTGACAGGCTCCGTCCTCCACCGAGGGACACCAACACCGTGTGAAAAACCTTAGAAAACCATAGAAACGCTGCTAAAAATACTCTTGGTATTTGACAATGGCATTTCATGAGGAACCTCAGAAAAAAGTTCTTTTTGGTCTCATTTCAAAAAAATCTGTTTTTTTCTAAGTTCTGTTTTGACAAGATGAATTGTGGGACAAGTGAACACTGCATTTTTGAATTAGACCAAACTGTGGCCCTCTGGGTGGGGGCAGCTTAACCTGGAGCCCTTTCTTTTCTTTTCTTTTCTTTTTTTTTCACCATTTACAGTTTATTGTTATGTCTTTACTTTCAGTTTCCTTCCCCATGCATGCTCACTTTGACATTTAGCAATTTTGTTGAATTTTTTATAGCTTTATTGACTGCCTTATACCTTAAATAAGTAAATGTAAGCAAGAAATGACAGCCTATATAGCATAGTAAAATATTTCGAGATATATTTTGGCTTCCTTAATTAATTATTTGAAGATTTCATTAAATTCTTCAATTTTTGCTCTACAACTAAATGTCTCATCCTTTAATGTAATGCTTACTTGCTTTTATAGTAACATTTGGGCAAAAAAAAAAAAAAAACACAATGTAAAACAATGCAAAAGGCATACATTTTTGAGCCAAAAGAATTCAGGAACCACAAATGAGTTAGTTATGTAATTTTGACCAAGTCCTTGGGATTTTTATGAAGCATACTTTTGTGTCTGCAAAATGTGCCCAAGGGGATATTTTTAGCACTGTTAGGCAGTGGGTATGGATCTATATTTTAAATTATGAAATTGCCTAAAAATGTTAAGTCACAAGAAAGTACCCTAGTTTGGGCATAAAATCCCCAATTTAAGTTGAGCCTTCATTATTTACTAGAAGTAAGTCTTTGGTAAGTCTCCTAAACTCTAACAGTTCTGAAAAAATGGGATAACAAGAAACAGCTATGACAATCAATGGTAACTGTGCTCTTGTAAAATATAAACCAATGCAAAAAGCCACTATTTTAATAAAATGTTCTTCATAGTATATGTGATAATAATTTTAGATTTCCAGAGCTTAAGACATTGCCTAAATATAAATGATGTTAAAACTGGATGTGGTGGCACATGCCTGTAATCCCAGCACTCAGGAGGCTGAGACAGAAAGATTGTTGAGCGTTTGAAGTCAACTTGGGCTACATAGTGAGTTCTCGGCTAGCCTAAATTACATAACGATACCCTCTCTCAAAAAATAGCATAAAAATGATGTTTAGTAACTAAGGTAAATAGAAATACTTTTAGAATATAAAGCATTTTAGAGGGCTAAATTTTAAAATATAATATATTTTGTAAATTTTTTGAAATAATTTACCAAAAATAAAATAATTAAAAATAAACTAAGTTACATTTGCAGACATTTTTTTCTGTTATGTTTCCACTGCATTGATCAGTACTTTAAATTTCCAAATAACTTCAAAATATATGTTTTACAAAATTCTAGAATGAGAAGGTGAATCCTAACATTCACACAGGAAGTA